GTGCGATTGGCACAGGACAGAGCAGAGTTTAGGGCTGTTGTACATGGGGTCGCTATGAGTCGCAGGCGACTCGACGGCACATAACAACAACACAACAGTATCTTTATAGTATATTTCATTCATATACATTGTGTTTTATACAATTTTTTCATTTACATTGTGTTTTATACTATCATTCATATACATTCTAACCCATCCAATGGGGAAATGACAACCTCTTCAAAAATGGTGCTGGCAAAACTGGACTGCCAACTGCAGAAAGCTGAAACAGCATCCACATCTCACATCATGCACAAAAATGAACTCAAGGTAGATCAAAGATCTGTGTGTAAAACCCCAAACCATAAAGTTCATATGAGACAACAGAGATCAAGCTTAGAAGACCCAGACTATGGACAGTATAGGTACTGTCAAATCAGCTAGAAATGCACAATCTGAAGAGGATAAAATTGATGAATGGGACATTCTTAAGTTTAAATCCCTATGTGCATCAAAAACTTTTTCCAACAGGGTAGAAAAAACCCACTGACTAGAAGCAAACAATTGACAATACCAGCTTAGACAAGAGTCTCATAGCAAAAGTTTAAAAAAGGCTGCTACAAGAAGAAGACTGATAAATACAAAATGGACAAAAGACATGGAAAGAATTTTCACAGAGGAAGGTTTTCAAATGGCCAACAGACATATTGAAGAAATGGTCAAATTCACTGACAATAAGAGACAGATACATACTAGTATTTAAAATTTTACAAAATAAAATGAGATTTTTTAGCTAACTAACAGATTGACTCATAAACAAATCATCTGTGAGTACAGTGCTCCTTTACCTTCCAAATGGTCAACATTTATTCAAAAACAAGAAGGGAAATAAACAGGGAAGTTAGACTGCTGGAAACAGAAGTAGAATGGAAATTATGAGAAAATAGACATCATGAAAAATTTAAGCTATGCTGGTGAACAACTTGTAAAGAAATTATTAAGTGGGAATCTAATTTGCTGTAGAAACATTCACAGAAAGCATAATAAAATACTTTCCTTTTAAAAAACAAAACCTTAAATCTCAAAAAAAATTAAAGAACAACTCTCAAGCAAATTAATTGCTTTTCTCGCTTAAAATTGTCATGAATATCTTTATATATATTAAATGCTGGATCCAATTGTATGTCTAGGAAGGAAATGTACATTTAAAATTTGAATAGATGGCAGACTGTTCCTCAAAAACCTTGTATAAGTATCCACTTTACCAACCATAGCATAGAAGAGGGCCTGATTTCCTCATCCTTCTGCCTGCTGTTGGCTCTCAGTCTTGGCAATCTGTTATGACTATACTGATGTTTAGTTTAATTTGCATTTTTCTATTTTTTTTTAGTGACCTTGAAATTATTTTTGCAATTTAATTCTCAACTTGTGCATTTTCCTTCTGTGAATTATCTTTATGTTCATTGCCTTTTACCATTAGGTTTCTTTCTCTTTTTTACTCATTTGCAAAAGCTTCTTGCCTGGTAGGGAAGCTAATGTGAAAAATATTTGCTTCTTTCTCCTGTGTCCAGTTAGATCTCATTGCCATCATGAGATGACCGCTCAAGGAACCAACTCATGGCTGACCCTCCGGCAGGTTTTCTTGGAGGCACGAAAGAGATTGCTCATCATTGTCCTACAATATCCAATCATAGTTTGTAAATTTTATGTAATGAAATTGTTCTTTGTTTTTATGGCTTCTTAGTTCCATTTCATGCCTAGAAACACATTACTCCTCCAAATTGCTAAATTGTCTATTCATGTTTTCTTTCACTGTTTATTACTAAATATTAAGGGGCTTTTTGGCATAGGTAGTGAGATATTTATTTTCAGATAACTCATCATCATAGTACTAATTATAATCTTGTTTGGATTTTTATTAGAAATTTAATGACTTAATTTATAACATCTTTACATTCTTTCTGAATACAAGCTATTACTCCTACTTATTAATTTCTTGTGTGACTTATTAGCAGGTGGGTTTTTTTATTAGCAGGTTTTTTTACATACAGTGCTAGTAAATTGTAGTTTATATTAGGTTTTTTACATATATTTCTAGTAATGTTACTAGCATGGTTTTGGTTTGCTGAATTGATAAAAGACTTTTTAAAAAAATAATATTCAGTACTATAGATGTGTTGTTGTTACGTGCCATTGAGTCACTTGGAACTCATAGTGACGCTATGCACAATAACTCGCCTATCCTATCCTGAGCCAGTTTCACTGCCTCCAGCACATCTACCTCCATTAAACCAAGAGATGAGGATACATTTATACACTGATGGTACAAGCTGAATTTTATAAAACCTACTAGAAAGCAATTGGTAATATACTGTCAGAGTTATAAATGCTTTAATATTCCTTAGTCTAGTAATTCAGCTTATAAAAATGTTACTAAAGAAGTAATACATTCATATTTATAAATTAAAATGACCTAAGTGTCTAACAATAGAGTAATAATTACATTCACTACAGTTGATGAAGAATTCTATGAACAAGGAAAAAAAACCTAGGACATGTAGACTAATATTATTTAGAGAGAAAAATTAGGTTGTAAAGCGATATACATTTGTGGAAGAACTCGGTAGAGAAGCTCAATATCAGCAGTGAAAACCAGGTCCGGTGCTGATTGTGGCACAGACCACCAACTACTCATATGTAAATTCAAGCTGAAGTTGAGGAAAATTAAATCAAGTCCATGGGAACCAAGATTTGATCTTAAGTCCATCCCACTCAAATTTCAAAACCATCTCAGGAACGGGTTTGAGGCCTTGAGCACCAGTGAGCATAGACCAAATGAGCTCTGGGAGGATATCAAGAAAATCGTACATGAAGAATGCAAAAGATCATTACAAAGGATGAAAAAGAAGAAAAGACCAAGATGGATGTCAGATGAGACTCTGAATATTGCATTAGAGCGCCAAGAAGCCAAAGCTAAAGGAAGAAACTAAGAAATCAAAGAGCTAAACAGAAAATTTCAAAAGGCAGCCTGGGATGATAAAGCAAGATACTATAATGAAATGTTCAGAGAGCTGGAGTCAGATAATCAAAAGGGACGAACTCGCTCAGCATTTCTTAAGCTGAAGGAGCTGAAAAACAAATTCAAACCATGGGTGGCAATACTTAAGGATATTTTGGGCAGTATATTAAATGATCCAGAAAGTATCAAGAGAAGATGGAAGGAATACACAGAGTCACTGTATCAGAAGGAATTGGCTAACACAGAAGAATTTCATGAAATGACATATGAGCAAGAGCCTATGGTGATGAAAGAGGAAGTCCACATTGCGCTGAAGGAATTGGCAAGAAACAAGGCTCCAGGAGTTGACAGCATACCAATTGACATATTTCAACAAACAGACACTGGCCTGGATGTACTCACTAAGTTGTGCCAAGAAATCTGGAGAACAGCCAGCTGGCCCACTGACTGGAAAAGATCGATATTTGTTCCCATTCCAAAGAAAGGTGACCCAACAGTATGGAAATTATTGAACACTATCATTGATATCACATGCAAGCAAGATTCTGCTGAAAATTATCCAAAAACATTTGGAACAATATGTCAACAGAGAACTGCCAGATGTGCAGGCTGGATTTAGAAGAGGTCGTGGTACTAGAGATATTATAGACAATGTCAGATGGATCTTAGCAACAAGCAAAGAATAACAGAAGAATGTCTATCTCTGCTTCATTGCCTATGCAAAGGCTTTTGACTGTGTGGATCACAACAAGCTGTGGCTGACTCTAAGAAGAGTGGGAATCCCAGAACATTTGATTGTGCTAATACAAAACTTATACTTGGACCAGGAGGCAGTTGTCAGAACAGAGCAAGGAGACACTACATGGTTCAAAATCAAGAAGGGGGTTCGTCAGGGTTGTATTCTGTCTCCATACCATTTCAATCTGTATGCAGAACAGATCATCCGAGACACTGGGCTATACGAAGAAGAATGTGGCATCAGGATTGGTGGAAGAATCATCAACAACCTGCGTTATGCAGATGATACAACCCTGCTTGCTGAAACTGAGGAGGACCTGAAGCGCTTGCTGTAGAAGATCAAGGACTACAGCCTCCTATATGGACTGAAGCTAAATGTCAAGAAAACAAAGATTCTCACCACTGGACCAATTGGCAGCATCAGCATCGATGGTGAAGAGATTGAGATAGTTAACAGTTTTAATTTACTTGGCTCCACAGTCAACACTCTTGGTAACAGCAGTCAGGAAATCAGGAGATGAATTGCATTGGGAAAGTCTGCTGTGAGGGACCTCTCAAGAGTACTGAAGAGCAATGATGTCAGGCTGGAGACTAAGGTGCGCCTGATCTGGGTTATAGTCTTCACAGTTACATGCTATGCATCAGAGAGTTGGACAGTGAATAGGGATGATAGAAAGAGGATTGATGCCTTTGAGCTGTGGTGCTGGAGACGAGTGTTGAATATACCATGGACTGCTAGGAGAATAAACAGGTTTATCCTGGAGAGGGTGAAGCCAGAGTGTTCCCTGGAGTCAAGGATTCTGAAGCCTCGTCTGACATACTTTGGGCATGTTGCAAGGAGGGACTGGTCCTTGGAGAGGGACATCTTGTTTGGCAGAGTGGAGGGGCGGCGAAGGAGAGGAAGGCCTTTGATGAGATGGATTGATTCTGTGACTGGAGCGTTGGGAATAAGTGCGTTTGAGGTGGCTAGGTTGGCACAGGATAGAACAGCATGTAGAGCTCTTGTACATAGGGTCCCTATTAATCGCAAGCGACTCGATGGCACATAACAACAACAGACATATAAAATAAATATTTTTAAATATGTCAATAATTTTTACATAAAACACTAGAATGTTAACAGAAGTTATCTTTGTATTATAGGATTAAGATTAATATTTATTTTATATTTTTAAAAATAAGCATGGTACATAACGATATGATTTGGAGGAAAACAGTGTAAATGGACAACAGCAACTTAAAAGATTACAGAGGAAACTTAGGGGGCAGTAAATTTACGATTATGGGGCAGGAACAATTCAGAAAAGGAAGACAAGAATGATTGTATAATTGAAGAATGTAATAAATATCAATAAATTATAAATGTAGAAATTGAAGCTGAATTAGAGCATGTTCAACTGCATATTTTCAATCAGATCAGTGAAAATAAAACGTAAAATTAGATAACTGTATGTGTGCATATACACATACACATTATGTATGTATGTACGTGTCTATATACACACATACACATTACATATATGGAATTTGAAGCTCAACATCAAGAAAACAAAGATTTGGCCCTGAATACTCTGGGCCAGATGGAGGCATCATGATAGGTGGAAAAGAGCTCGAGATTGTTAACAAAGTCAACTTGCATGGTTCCTTAATTATCACTCTTGGCACTAGCAGTCAAGAAATCAAAAGATGAATTGCACTGTGAAAGTCTCTCAGGGACCTCTCCCAAATGCTGAAGAGCAAGGATGTCAGTCTGGAGACTAACATGTGCCTGATTAAGGCCATGGTCTTCACAATTATTTTCTATGCACCAGAGAGCTGGACAAGGAATAAAGATGACAGAAGAATCCATACCTTTGAGTTGTGGTGCTGGAGAAGAGTATTGAACATACTGGACTGCCACAAGAACAAAGAAGGCTGTCCTGGAGAGAGTGAAACCAACTTGCTTTCTGGAGGCAGGGATTTTGAAGCTCTTTGGATATGTTGCCCAGAGGGACTGGTCTCTAGAGAAGGACATCATGTTTGGAAGGGTGAAGGGAGAACACAGGAGAAGAAGACCCTGCATGAGATGGACTAACACAGTGACTGGAGTTATAGGGGCAAGTGTGTCAGAGATAGTGAGATTGGCTAAGGATAGGGCAGGATTAAGAGCCATTGTGTATAGGGTCACTATAAGTTGCAAAGAAATTCAATAGCACACAACAGCAACGTATAAAGAATGGTAAGAAAGGAAACAAATAGAAGGAAGGAATCAGTAAATAAGAAAAGGAGCAGCTTAGAGAGGGAGACAAAAGACCCAGAAGGGGTCAGTGTTCTGAAAGCTAATGAGGAGAAGAGTTTTAAATGATTAGCAGTGTTTAATAGAGTAAACTTTGTGTGAGGGGGGAGGAGAAATGGGATGATTGAAGAATAGTCACTGGCTTTTGTAATTTGGATGTTGTAATCTTTGTAGAGTATTAATGGTTAGAGGCAGTGGGGTTATGAAGTGAATGGGAGATGAGGAAGATTGGCTAAAGGAAGAGAGGAAGAGGATGGAGTTATACAATGGCAGAATTGAGCATTTCTAGATGTTAACAGAAAGGAGCAGTAAGGAGGAAGATACTACAGACTGAGGAGTGAGGAGAGTCAAGCACTAGCAGGCGATCCCTGAAGAACAGAAAAGGCTGATGTCCTGAGCACCTAGATAGAGTCAGAGAATAGCTATCACTCTCTCAAAAAGAAGGGATGAGAACAGGGAAAGACACTGTACCAGCTGAAAGAGTTCCTCTCTGGTGGCCTCTCTTTCTTCTCAAGGAAGAAGAGAGGTCAATGGCTAAGAATAAAACGGAGAAATTTGTCTTTAATCCTGGAATATCAGCTCCAGCACCCTTTCATGGATGCTAACCATCCAGCATTCTGACTCTTTGACAAGGAAAAGGTTTTTTTCATATGTTTTAATGTCTTTTATCTTGCAGAGTTGTGGAAAGTAAAAACTCAGCCTTTTCTGTCGGGACTGTTGTTCTGGCTTTTTCAGGCTGGACAACACACTCCATTTCTGATGGGAAAGAACTGGAAAAGCTGCCAACAGAGTGGCCGGATACATTACCACTGTCTTTGGCTCTGGGGACAGTTGGCATGACAGGGTGAGTTTCATGGCTCTATGTTGTTTATCTGAATGGCTGAAGGACAGGTTTTCCAAAATAGTTTGTCTAGAACTTATTCAATAGAAAGATGCTTGAGACATAATAGACTCACAGGCTGACTAGAGCTGTGATAGGACAAGAAGGGAAGGAGAGAGAGCGAGAACTAACTTTGCAACTGAAGGGAAAAGAGGGAAAATCAAGTAGAGACACTTTGGCACACAAAGAAGGCCACAGTGAGAAGCACCTTGAAGTCTAATCTCTCCTGAGCAGCCAGTAAATGGTAGTTCAAAGAAACCATCCTCCTATCTATCCCTCGGAGGCTCTTGGTCTCATTCATCCCTGTCTTGACTTCACAGTTTAGAAACAGAAAGACAATTTAATCTACCTTGGCCTTTCTGAACTCTCCCGTGCCTCACTTTCCTCCTATATACATCTAAGTTTTTGAGATCTAAAGAGATATAAAATTGTAGGTGTTAATATAGACCAGTAGTATAGCTGTATTGACCCTTAGCTTGGTAAACAGTTTAAATACTCAACTTCACTTGGCCTTGTCCTCCAGGAAATTCCTTGCACATTCTCTGATTCCTGACTGAGTTTTGGACATAAAGCTTCTTTAGTATACTGGAGAAGAGATTTTGAACTTGGAGTCATTAAAACTTTTCTAAGCTAGAATTTATTTGTTATTGTTGTTAGGTTCTGTCAAGCTGAGTATAACTCATAGCCTACCAGTGAACAACAGAACTGAATCCTGTCCTATTCTGTGCCATCCCCACCATCTCTGATCATTTGAGTCCACTACTGTCACCGTGTCAGTTCATCTTGATGGCAGTTGTCATCTCTTGCTCACCTCCACCCTTCCAAGCATGGTATCTCCTTCCAAGGAATAGCCTCTCCTAGCAACATGTCTAAATTATGAGAGATGAAGCTTTGCCATCCTTGACTCCAAGGAGTACTATGGATGCACCTTTTCTAAGATACCTTTTTGTTCTTTTGACAGTCCATGGGATATTCAGTACTCTTACCTAACACCACAACTTAAAAGTGTAATTTTTTCTTCTGTCATCCTTATTCATTGTCCAGCTTTCAGATGCATAGCAAATAATGGAAAAGACCATGGCCTGAATCAGGTGCATCTTAGTCTTTAGACTGACATCATTGCTCTTCAGTGTTTTGGGGAGTTCCTTTTATTCCTTCCTTTTTTATAAGTAGCATGGTTTTTTCTTGCTTCTTCTCATCCTCTGTCTTTTTTTTCTTTTTTCACTTTTACAAATATTTTCAGAGAATGAAATCTAAATATATACTTCTAAACAATTAGCCTTAAATAAAATTGCTCTCATAATACTTCACGGTCATACTCCACTTTGTCTCCTTAGAATTGACAATTCCGAGAAATACCATTGCAAAATTTGAAGACACTTAATACCTTCTTATATTCAACCCAATGGAAATTATCTGCCATTGCTGTCAAGTTGGAACTGACTCATACCTGAACCTCCTGTAGGCTTTTAGAGGCTCTAAATTGTATAGGAGGAGATTGCCCGTCTTTCTCCCTTGGAGCAGCTGATGGATTCGAACCTGCCTTTGGGTTGGCAACACAACTTAACCACTAGGCACCTGAGCTCCCTAAATTCAACTAAAATGAGTCACACCTCTTTCTAATTTTAATTGCCTTCCCTCTCCCTTCACTGTAAGAGCTTTTTCTTTTTATCTTTGCTGTCCTCTCAGAATTGTGAAACAGATAATATAAGGGGGGATGGGGGATTGTAAAGGCAATGCAAAAGGAGCTGAAGAACTATTGGGGTTGCCCAGTCGGACTTCATAAAGGGGACCTTTCCCCATCAATAATACCTGTAGTCCCACACAAATAGCTGCTTGGTCAGACATGCCACCCCACATGCTCCTGCAACTTTTTCTACTTATCATTGGGTTTGTTAGTTTGTTGTTGACTAACAGACTTTACTCACAGTAGTGGAGTTTATTAAGGAAATAAGTTGGAGAGGAGGAGGCAAAAAATATTACCTAATGCAAGTTCAGGTTTAGTCCAGCAACCTTAAACCAGATTAACAAAGCACATTTCCTCAATTAGTGAGAGCCCAGGCTCAGTGTACCAGCCTAAAAGCAAGAAGTCTCTAGTTTCCTCAATCATCCAGCAAACATTGTCTCAGAGCAGTTATAAGTCAACTTTTCCTCTTCATCCAGCAAGCAAAATTTTTAACTGTGACCTTTATCTCAAAGCAGTTACAAATCTGCTTTTCCTATTATACCTTGTCACAGTCTCTTCACAGCAGTGCCACAGTCTCATTACAATGTCTCCACCACCATCATCGCAAGGTTCCTCACAGTATAGAAAGCTCTGTCCGTCTGTCTGATGATTTGCAAGACCATGTATCCCCAGTTAAGGTAGCTGGAGACCATGCCCCCAGCAGGGGTTAACACAATGGCTAAAAAAAGGCCAATTTTTAAGGTTTCTGACACCCCAGGCAGACATGAAGAAACCTAGAGTAAGTCTCTCCTGACTTAGTTGGGGAAAAAGTAATTTGTAAAATATTAAAATATCTTGATCCTTGAAAGATAATTTATTCATTCATATGCACTCTGTTTTTCAACTGTCCCAAACTCCTAAGAAGTATAATTTTACTCTAAAAAATACTAACTCTAACTAACCCTTTTACCTTCAGCCTAACAGCCTACTTTGGCTTACTTGATATCTGTGGTGTAAAGGGTGGAGAAACAGTGATGGTTAATGCAGCAGCAGGAGCAGTGGGAGCTGTTGTTGGACAGATAGCTAAACTCAAGGTAAGTGGTTCCATCCTGTAACAGATATTTACTGAAGACTCACAGTTTGTACAGAGAAGGCAACAGGGAATACAGCAAACTTTGCCTGGCCTCAATGAATCTTATTTAGTAGTTGGAGATTGGAAATGATCGAGATATGAGGGGAAATGGTATATAGCAAAGATGACTGGCACATTGTTATCTGATAAAAATGCAGGTATCAAGTCAGCATGGCCTCTGTCTGGTATGTAAGCAACTATTTTCATAGTTCTTCTTGAGCATTTTCTTTTTAAAAATTTTTTAAATTTTATTATTTTTGTGCATGTACCATCAAATTGGATCTGACTGGTATAGGAGGAAATTGTTCCTCCTTCTCCAGCAGAGCATCTGGTGGATTGGAACCACACACCTCTGGGATTGCAGTGCAGCTTCTTGCCACTAGGCCACCAGAACATTTTTTACTTACTCTTCTTTCTTTGTGATTGCTCTAGTAATACAGAATCAAGGTAGACAAAAGAATAGATTGTCTAGCTAGCAGGTTTTAACAGATTACAAATTAAATAAATGGGGAAAGAATCTGCTTGAGTAGAAGGCAGAACTAACCTGATGCTGCAGAAACTAATTTCATTTATGAAGCCCATTGGCCTCATACATACAGTTCATTACCCAAAGAATGTTGGGTGAAGGTAACTCCACTCTACTAGACTAGGAGGTAGTATTGATCCATGCCTAAGAGTTTAAAGTGGTTTCCTTTCCCCTCCCCATTTAGGGCTGTAAAGTGGTTGGAGCAGCTGGGTCTGATGACAAGGTTGCCTACCTTAAACAGCTTGGATTTGATGTTGCCTTTAACTACAAGACAGTAGACTCTTTGAAAGACACTTTGAAAAAAGCATCTCCTGATGGTTATGATTGCTATTTTGATAATGTAAGTACAAACTGAACTTAATATCTGATTTACTAACAAAGTATGACACAATGGAATATACTTACGGAGTTTCTATCTAAAATTTGTGAAAGTACAACTATCTTTTTTTCTAATAGCTTAATTGAGATAAAATTTATATACCATACTCTTTACCTTTTTAAGGTGGTACTAGTTTCTAGTATATTAACAGAATTGTACAACCATGACCACAATAATTTTTAAAATATTTTCATCCATGTAGTCTTTTGTGGCTGACTTCTTAGCATGATGGGTTTTCAAAGCTCATTCATGTTGTTGCATGTCTTAGTACTGCGTTCCATTTTATGGCCGAGTAACTTTCCATTGGATGGGTATATACTCTTTGATTTATCCCTTTACTCATTGATGAGTTTTTTATTCTTTTTTTGCTATTATGTACAATGCTGCTATGAATATTTTCTTGCCTATTTTTGTTTGGATTTAATGTTTTTATTTCTCTTGGATACACACCCATGAGTGGAATTTCTGGACCACATGACAGTTCTATGTTTGACAGTTTAAAGCACTGCCAAACTTTTTGCAAAGTGATTTCACTATTTTACATATTTACCAGTAAGGTATCTGGGCTGCCGTTTCTATCGGTCTTTTTTATCATAGCAATACTAATGAGTTGAAATAATATTTCATTTTAAATGTCTTTATTTGCTTCTTTTCCTTAATAGCTAATGAAGGAAGCTTTTGTGGCTTAGTTAGGCACATGTTTCAAATCCACAGGCTACTATGCATTTATCACAGGACTGTCAACTCAGCTTGATTAGTTAGGTAACTAACATTGAATATAGTTTTGAAATGAGAAAATGTTTTCTTTGTCCTGCATGTATTGTTTTTGTCCCTTTCCGATTATAGGGCAATGAGATTGTTGGACTGATTAAAAAAACCCTAGTATTACAGTAAAATGTCTGTTATTGAAACTGTATTTTTAAAGGTATATGGAATTCCCAATTTTTATTGCTTTTTTCTAACTGTAATCTGTTGTTGCTAATGAAATCTTTTTTAAGCTGCTAAATGAAAATGAAGTTTTTTTTTCTATTTCATTGTTTGTCCAAATCTTCTAGTGTATAATTTATTTTTTTGGTTTTGTGTTCTGTTAAGGTGGGTGGAGAGTTTTCAAATACTGTTATCCCCCAGATGAAAAAATTTGGAAGAATTGCACTATGTGGGGCCATTTCTACATATAACAGTACTCATCCACTTCCCCCAGGTAATAAGCTTACATACGTGATCAAAGATGAAATAAATCAGGACAAAGAGGGAGTAGAAAATATATTGTAAAAGAAAATAGTGTAGGCCAGTGACTATTAGATATTGGGAGATTATAATTATCTGTTTATAGGATGTATTTCTAAAGTAACAATGAACTCTGACACAGACTATACATAAAATAAATAAGAAGCTGCTAAATATTTCTTGTTATTTTTGATGAAATGATGAAACACTACTTACTAAAAGATAGCATTTTATATGAGTTGTATTAAATCACCTTATACTCTCAATTTTAAGGTAAAAAAATAACTGTATTCAGAAATATAGAAGAAAATGTCATAGTTATTAAAAGTTTTCATCTTTTACCTATTTTTCTGCAATGTTGTAAAAAGGTTGTCAATGTTAGATTTAGAAATCAATAACCTTAGGATGGCTAGTAAACTATTAGGGTTCTTCAGAATATTGCTGGTGGAGTTGGGATGGGCAGAAGGTGACTTGTTATGAGTAGAGGGAAAGGCAGGTTGCCGTGTCCTTTAGTCTTGGCAGTTAGTCTTGTGCTTCCTAGAGCAGCAGGATATCTCAGTCTCACCAAAATGCTGGTTTCCACCAAAAGGGAAAAAGTATGCATTTTTCCTCTATGCTTTTATTGACTTATATTTGTTTGTTTGAGTAGACGTTTGACTGTTCCTACTCTCAGTGTCCTATATCCCTCACTTCTCCACTCTTGTGATGGTATTACTGACTCTTACATCTCTTTTAGGAGCAAAACAGAAAACAAGAGGTTTATGTAATAAAAAGCCTTGATTAAGCCATAACACAAAACCTGCTAAGATGAATGTCAGGTATTCCTTCTGTAAGCAAGATAGAAGATTTCCCCCCTCCCCATCCCTCCCCCCATATATTATCTTCAGGGCCTTATAGTGTTCCATAGAACTATTTGGGAAGTTTTTGGTAGCCATTGCTTTTGGCATGTGAGGGATGAACACTACCTGGTCTGTGTGAAGACAGAGTGTGTATCAGTTCCCCATCGTGGCTGTAACAAATGACCACAGATTTGCTGACTTTATTATCTTACAATACTGAAGGAAAAAAAAAATAGTAGTTTAATAGGGCTACATTCCTTTTGAAGGATCTAGAAAAAAAGTATTTCTTTGCCTTTTCTGACCTTTAGAGATCATGGGCATTCCTTGACATAAATACCCTCCCTCTATCTCCAAAGTAATCAGCATGGTATCTTCACATATTTTTCTCACTCTTTCTGTCTCTACCATCTGCTGCCATTGTATTTCCTTTGACTGACTTTCCTGCATCCCTCTTTCCCCTCAAAGAGCCCTTGTGATTATACTGGTCCCACTCATATAGCCCCGGATAATCTATCCTTCTCAAAATCCTAAATCACATCATGTAGTCTGTGTTGCCATGTAAGGGAACATAGTCACAGGCTCTGGATATTAAGATATGGACACCTTGCAAGGAAGCATTATTCTTCCTGACACAGAGTGAATGATTAGTCAGCAATTCCTTGGATCAGGAAAGAATATAGGAAATAAATAAAAGTACTAGAACAGTGATGGTAGATCGTACCGCCAAGTGTTTTCACCACTCCACTTGCCAGGAGCCCAAGGGCCCAGTGTGCCATCTTTTTAACAGGCCCACCCCCAGAGATTGTCATCTATCAGGAACTCCGCATGGAAGGGTTCATCGTCACCCGCTGGCAAGGGGACGTACGCCAGAAGGCTCTGAAAGACTTGATGAAATGGGTCTTAGAGGTAAGGGGTTACTGGATCAACCCATCCTATTGTACACATGATTCTGTTCTCCTTCCCACTTATAGCTGTCATCCTACCAGTTCTTCCCACTTTATACATCACTATTGTCTGCTGCCTGTATTTAGAATACACTTTCCCTTCCTTCCTCTGCCCTGTCTTAAAAAACAACAAAAAAACCAAAACAAAAGCAAACAACTCCAAACCCCATCTCTAGATCTCTTTTATAACAAAATTCCTGCGAGAGTTTTCTGCAACCCCATTCCCATCTGCTGTTCCTCTCTCCCATTCTTTCTTGAGCACACATGTCAGAATTTTGCCCTCTTGCCATTCCACCAAACTGCTTTTGTCAAGGTCATCAGTGTTGCTCAGGTGGCAAAATTCAGTGTTCAATTCTTTGCATCACTTGACAATGAGCTGGATTTGACCGAGCTAATCATGCCTTCCTTGGGACACTCCCCTCCCTTGGCTTGTAGGACAATGCCGTTGGCTTTCTGCCTGCCTCACTGACTGATGCTTCTCAGATGCCTTTACAGGATTTTCTTCTCTCCCACTGATGTTAGTCAATGGACTTTTCTTCTTTATCCACACTATCCCTTTATTAGCTCATCCAGGCTTATGCAGAAAACCATGGAAGTGTGTCTTGCTCCAGACTGGATGTAAATTAATGGAGGCTGTATCCTCCATTCTAGGGTTTCATATGGTGGAAATGATGAGTGTTGATTAGATGAGTATGTAGTGTGAAATCAACCTGTTGTATTTGTTATTTTGATGCAGGGTAAAATCAAATACTGCGAATACATCAAAGGAGGATTTGAAAACATGCCAGCTGCATTTATGGGAATGCTGAAAGGAGAGAATTTGGGGAAAACAATAGTGAAGGCATGAGAAAGGACACAAGGATCTAAAGATGATTTGGATGATTGCTTAATTTGTATTTTCCACCATTAAATAAAACCGTATGCTGCCTTAAATATCTAAGTAATAACAACTGTAATGAGTTTGACCCACCAAATAAAAGAAATTTAAATATAAATGGTGTGTTATTTGCAACAAGAAATGAATGAAAATGTCAGTGTACAGTAACCAGTCACCCAGCTGCCTTCTGGTTTATGGTAGAAAACTATGTCTTTGAAGTCGGAAAGTTTTATGGCCTCTGTAAAGTGGTAATAATGGCATCTATCTGCTTTATCCTTTTGAGGAGAATACATAGTGTACACTCATTTAAAAAATCACCAGTGTCCTGTGTCCTGTGTGCATCTTTCTCTGTTGCTGACAAGGTGGAACTGACTCATAACTGACACTCCCCTAAAGTGGGTCTCTCAATGGTGGAAAATGCTCTGGAGATTGGCCGTCTTTCTCCCTCGGAGTGGCAGAGGTGCTGCCTTTGTGTCAGCAGCACAGCTGCTGAAGGACTGTTACATCAGTGCGCCCCAGGATAGATCAGGCATTCAAGAAATGCTAGCTCCCTGCACAAAAAAAATTTATTTGAATTCCCAGGATTAATAACCTTGTTGTTTATGGTTAGGAAAAAAAACCCCCATGCTAGGGTACAAAAGGTCCTCAAGTTCTCCACATTTAATTTTCCGCATGTGAGTCTAATAATATGACAGACCAAAAAAAGCAATCTGATGTTCACAATAGGTGGAAAAAAGAAAATAGAAATGATAGTCTTACAAAAATTGTGCAAAATGCTTATGACAAAAGTATCAAACATCACCTAGCAATACCTGAACATAAGGAAAGACTATCAATGTATGAGGCAATACCATATTTGTTTGCCAGTTATCAGGAGATGCAAACTGATCATGGCAGCTGTTTAGCCATGAAGGTGAGTGGAAAAATGAGTCCAATATTTGGAGGTGTTCTCCCTAATATGCATAGTTTGGGAAGCTTGGTTCCTTTGGTTGCTCCCTGAGAATCATTCAGAACACCAGGACCAACCATCACTCCCATAGTAGAAGCCATGTATAGCTCAGGCACCCTAGTCTGACATCATCCAGAGAACCATTTATATGGAAGAAGCTAGCGAAAAGAAACAACCTAAAGAAGTTGTATTTTGTTTTCTGGCCTTTGCTTAAGTGTGATTTGTCTTTCAGTGTAGAGTAAGATTGTCATTACTTTTGTATGTTAGTGATAGATTGCTAGAACAATTTAAAATCTTGTCAAAGCTTTGAATTTTTTTAGTAAATGATACTGTTTTTTGTTTTTGGTTGGTTTTTGTGTTTTTTTCATTTTTTTAAAAAACCCTGTTTGAACCACACACTGTAGCCTGTCACCAGGTGTCAATAGTCCAAGCATTGTAGGGAGGGCATTTTGGTTCCTCATACCATCCAGTTCAAGCCCACCCATTCTTGTATGGGGGCAGCCCGCATACGGTGAAGAGCCCAAACAGGGTAGGGATTCCCACGTGGAGGGAGAGCCTGGCGTGTGGAGTCTCATCCAAGGAAAGGAAGAGGTTAGCTATAGAGAGGTACTTGGCCAGGGAGAGACTACAGGGTCCTAAACAGGTTGGGGTGAGGGGTAGTCACACATGAGGTAACCTGAAATGGGGGTCTGAATCTAGTGACATTTTTCAGCATGGCCCAGCATTAACTGTTGAATCACTGGCAAGGAAAGAACACAGGGCAGAAGCAGTGGTCTTCCTCACTTTACCTGTCTGTGTGACCTCATGTGTACCAGATGACACCACTACAAAATGATGGCAGACTTCATGGGAAATAAACTTACTGTGCTAAGGCACTCTGATTTCTTGGGCAATCTGTGGCAACCTCTGCTTACACAGCTCTGCACTGTCCAGTCCACTTGGAGTTTAAGAACATGAAATGTGACTAGTGCCACTTTAAAAAAACCTTGGCCCTGTGGTGGTCCCCCCTGCCCCTGCAGCCAGACAGAAGCTTGTTGTCTCTGCGAGGAGGCTGGGAGGCCTCGAGGAAAGAAATTTGTTTTGTGAATATCCATACAACTACAGCTACTCAATCTAATGTCAATGGAAAAACCTGTGCTGCCAATTGGCCCAATGGTGAGAATCTTTGTCTCCTTGATACTGAGCTTCAATCCATATTGAAGACTACAGTCCTTGACCTTCTGCAGCAAGTGCTTCAGGTCCTCCTTCTTCTCCGATCAGATCTCAGAGAAAGACAACATCCTTGGCAGAGGGCAAATGAAGGAGAGGAAGATCCTTAAGGATATGGATTGACATAACCACACAAATATTCTGTCCAAAAAAGTAATGCCTTTGAGTTTTAGCATTGGAGAAGGGTACTGAATATCTCATCACCATCAAAAGAACAAACATATATCTTGAAAAAGTATAGCCAGAGGTTTGCTTAAAGGCAAATATGAAGAAGCTTCATCTCACATACTTTGTGCAAGTTGTGAGGAGGGGATATTCCTTGGAAAGGGACATCATACTTGGAATATAGAGTGTCTTTGAAAGAGAGGAAGACCATTAATCAGATGGGTTGACACAAAGACTTCAGCAATGGACTCAAGTATATCAGAAATGATGAGGATGGCATAGGACTGGACAGGGTTCGGATCTGCTGCTCCCAGGGTTGCTATAAGTCATACTCCATTGATGGCACAGATCAACAATTTTAGTTGGCAATATTGAAGTTATCTATGATAAGTTTCCAACTTGTAAAGATTCCAGCTGTCTCAGTTTTTTAAAAGAGACTGCCAAGATTTCAGATTTGGGACTCCCATGCAGTGTGTATAAAATCCGTCTGAATGTCACTCTTTATAGGCCTGCAAGCTTTGTCATCATTTCAGGGTTCTGTGTGACAAAGCTGAGGTAGAATTGGGAAATTCTGCTCACATATTTCTTGACAAATATGTTTCATAAGCTTCTCTCAATAGACTGTAATTTCCATGATATTTGCATCTTAAAGTGTTCATTATTACTAATTTTTAAACTCATTTATGTATAAGATCATTTCAAATGTTAAATGACTTACAAAAATCCACAAACAATTAAGGTTAGAATTAATAATAAAACCCATGTCTTCTAAAAAAAAAACAACACCTTAATAACTGAAGCAGAACACATTTTTTTTCCTGTTAAAGAGAACTTTATTTTTTAATTTTTTTAAATTTTATTTTATTATTTTTGCGTCAGTGTACCGTCAAATCAGATCTGCCTGGTACAGGAGGAGATTGTCCCTCCTTCCCTGGCAGAGCATCTGGTGGATTCGAACCATGCGCCTCTGGGATTGTAGTTGCAGATCCTTGCCACTAGGCCACCAGAGCTCCCCTTAAAGAGAACTTTATTGTTTCAGTAGAATTACAATTCACTTTAACCACTGCCATCACATCATATACTGTTATTGTATTATAATGCTTGGACATGCACGTACACTTCTCTAGTATTACACACAAAGACATCACCAGTCTACTCAGTATCAACAGATTCTGTTCAGGTGGTTTTTCTGTTCATGGAGGGAACAACATAATGTGTTTACTTGGATTATTTTTAAAAACAGTGCAAGTTACAGTGATACCTATGTAAATCACATAAGCTGAAATACCATCTTAGTTATACATGCCTTCCTAAGTTAAAAATAATATAGACACATATGTCAATTTTAAATAAAGGCATGTTAGTGATGCAAAATTATTTAAGATGCAGAAGCTACTACTAGGACCAAAACAGTAATGAGACTGGAAGAAGGCACAGCACGAATTTCACAATGAATGGTAATTGCAATGGACTAGAAAAGATCAAAATGAAGTGTGAGAAAGGGTTAAAAATACCGATAGGCAATACTAAACACACCATTTTCAACAACAGGTGGATCTGTAGTTTTTCCAGTCACAAAAGAACAATGTTGCTACCTGCAATGAAAAGCAAGAATCTACCGCCTTAATAAAACTTCTCTTAAACACGCTTAACAAATTCTAGATTTGAACAGTTACAGAACAGCTTAAGTTCTTGAACAGAAAAACCACCTTAGATGGCAAAATGACAAAAAAAAATTTAGTTATGATTATTAAGAAAACTATGAGAAAAATTACTAGAAAAAATATATTTTACAAAAAGTAAATTTTCAGTTGAGCTACCAATCTTGATAACAGTCTAAAAGGCCATTTTAATAATATCAAAGATCAATTGAGAATTTGTATAAATACAAGGTTTTAACAATTGGCTCTACAACTATGAGATATTAAAAAAAAAAAACAACGGACTTTCAGGGGGGGGAAAAAGAACGAACTGGGGAGGAGGGTTAGAGAAAATAGTGCAACAATGAATGAACAAAAACCCCAAATCTCTGTAAATGTTCATTAAAATTAATAAAAAGTAATAAAAAAAATTGGCTCTAGCTCAGTCATGTGCTATGCATACTTTGGGTATGCTTTGTCTCAGAGGGCATCCAAGTTAGAAATGTTACCAATTCATAATCTAAAACCATCAAACTCTTGGTAAAATTTCTAACACATTGACACTCGTCAATGAAGTTCATCTTGAGATTAAAAATTAGTTCCTACTGTAAGAATGAGACTAGTTTTGTTAGGCCAAAATTTACATGTATTGAGAGCAAAAGAAAGAATGATTTTTCTCTCACTGTTTTGTTCCATTCTATAACATGAATTGAAAACAGTCACACTGGGTTTTCTTTCTTTTTAAATTTTATTTTATTTCATTATTGTGTGTGTGTGTTTGTGTACCGTCAAATCAGATCTGACTGGTACAGGGGAGATTGTTCCTCCTGCAGCAGAGCATCTGGTGGATTTGAACTGTGCACCTCTGGGATTACAGTACACCTCCTTGCCACTAGGCCACCAGAGCTCGCCACACTGGGTTTTCTCAAGCAGATTCCAAGAGCACTGTCATGAGTAAAGATGCTAAAATTGTTTAGTATATATTTGCAAACACTGAGGTAATAATCTTCAGTATAGGGAACTGCCAGAACAGAAAGCAATGATTTTGTATTTTTTTACTAGGACATTGTTGTTGAGTCATAAAAGACTTGTACTAAGATTTTCTTGTCATTTCAACATTTTCTGGAAACTATTCAGTAATGAAAGAC